GATGCATTAGAATTACCACTGTCCTCATCAGAAGGAGTCTCATCCTTTGTCTTTTCTCCTACTGCTTCTGCATAGAGGTCCTTGTATAAAAATGACAGAGCAGGTGGCTCCTCTAGAAGCTCTGGATTAACTGCAGCAACAGTGGTAGGGAACAACAGAGATCGTTCTAGCACTCCTTCTTCTGAATCAAAGAGTGGAGTCCCTGGTGACTTCCGTTCATCTTCTACATTTGTAACCTTTTTACTACTGATTTCAATGGATTTCTGCAGAGGTAAAGGCTTTGGAGGATCTGCATTGGACTGCATTTTGCTTTCTCCTTTCACAGTACCATAAAAGACTTCATCTAGATCCTCAAGTAAGGAAAACTCCTCTTCCAAAATATCTACCTCAACACTTTCTTTAAAAGATGTGGCTTCTTCTGCAGCTTCATTGGGATCTTCCATCACAGGAAACAATGAAGTTGGTCTTTCAAAATGTGGCTTAACTGGGGATTTGTCATCAATCAATGTGTATTTTTCAAAATAATCCATATCAGCCATTCCATTATTAGGATCCAACACTGCATTATTATTGTTTTCTGGCAACAAGGGATTTTCTTGTTCTGTCTCTCCAGTTTCCTCAACATCATCATTTTGGACCAATTCTTTTAGTTCATGGCTTGCAGGCTTTCCCAACACCGAGCTTTCTGAAATCTCGGTGGTTGTTCCAGAAGCTAGGGCTCTAAGACCATCATCAGCTAACTTTCTTTTAAATGAAGGATTTGTTTCCAAGTATTCTAGTTTATCTGGCATGTGTTTACTTTCTTCTTGATCAACAGAAGAAATATGTGTAGGAGCATGAATATTGAGTATTTCAAAACCTTCTGAAATTATATTAAATAGATCTTTTTGTTCAGTAGGCTCTGGAGCATGTTGACTTTCTTCTGTAGCTCTAGCACGTTCCATTTCTTCCTTTTCTCTTCTCAGGTAATGTTCAGGCACTTCAGGCAATTTGCCTGCCTCTGGATGTTGCATTGCTTCCATTTTTGTAGGGTTTCCACACTCTGGAACTTTGTCTGGACCTGGATTACCTCCTCCCAGAGATGGTAAATCATACCTTTGCACTCTGTGACTAGTTTCTGAGGATACTCTAGGGGAAATTTCACTTGATGCCAAATCAGAAACTCTAAAAATATCTCCTTTATTCTTTGTAGCACCATGAACTGTAAGTTCTGTGCAACTTCCAGCTGGGAATTGTTTTGATCCAAAATCAGAAGCTTCATTTGGAGAAAGCTGAATTTCTTGCCTGTCTACTTCCGTAGCTCTTATTGGACTAATTGAGCGAGTTTTCACCTCTTCCACCAGCCAGCTTGCTAGCCCAAAAGATGGAATATCTGGATTTTCCTTTTCATCAGAACTAGAGCTAATGGACTTAACCTCTGCTGAAGAAAGGTTGCCCTGTTCACCAGAATAACGCTGAGTTTTGTGTGTCACAGTTTCATAAACAAGATCTGATGAAGCAGCTCCCAGATGCTCTAAGGATGTATGCTTTTGGTCTGCAAAATATGGTTGCATTTTACGTCTATCCTCTCCTTCAGTATAAATGCCTGAACCAATGCTAGTTTGCTTTCCAAGAATGCCTGCTACACTGGATAAAGATGATGGACTATTTCGTTTCTCTTCATCACCAGTGAAAACCACAGATACTGTCTTTTCAGGTAATGTATGAAAAGGTACAAATGAACCTGATGACACTACTTGCTGATCTGCTACAGCAGTCACCTTTGACTCTGTGGCCACCAACCTTGGCACTGTCTGCACATCAGGTTGTATTTCTTGCTTATCCTGCTCAGTAATTAATTTGAGGGGACTTCTTAGCTGCTCTGATGACAAATATTTTGTGTCCAACAAATGATCTTGAGATTCTTGCTCATCTTGGTCTTGTGTGTGCATTAGAGGCTTTCTCTCCAACTGCACTGTCTTCAAGCTTGCTGATTTATGTGAACAGAGCTGAATTTTTTGCAGTTCTTTTTCATCGTGCGGTGGAATTACATGCTTACATGCTGATTGTGCAGACAGGGGAATAAGTGGCTGCATGCTTTGCTTTTCTTGTTCAGCAAAGGACTGTCTGGGAACAGAATACTCAGAGGCTGGTTTTGAATAAGGTGGAATTTCTTGCTGAGATGTTTCATCAGTTGAATAAAATGGAACTGAAGGTTCAGACTCCAGTTTTGAAGATACAGTTAAATAATCTTGACTTTCTAGAGTTTCTGGTTTATCTGTAGAATATGATAAATTTAATTGTTCAGATTCTAGTTGTGTAGCTGTGTGGAAGTAATGTGGAGTCTCTTCTCCCTCTGTTTCAGGTAAAATTACACGACAAACCTCTGACTGTGCAGCCACAGGCAAATGCATATGAATGTTTGTATTCTCTCCTTCTTTTTGTGCAAAGAAGAAACCTGATGCAGGCTGGGTGGTTTCTGTTTGCTTTGTTTTACAGTGGGTGTGAGATAGATCTAAGTGCTTGGGGGACAGGCCTCCAGTTACAGGCAAAGCCTCTGGACTTCCTTCTGGTTTTGTTTCAGAGACAGAATATGAAACACTCAAAGGTACAGACACTGTTTGTTCAGTAAGAGATGAATATGGCTGGCTTTCTGCTTCCTCAGTAGAAAATATTGAATCTTGTTTAGTTTCCAACTGAACAATTAGAGATGAAGTAGCCCCAGTGTCTTGCTTCTCTGAATGCCCTGCTCTCAGGAGGGCTGTTTCATGCTTTTCTGCATTGTCAGTATGACTTAATAAATATGATTGTTCAAAGTCCGGTTGTGCAGTTCCCTGTTCCTCAGGCCTGCCAAAGGTATGCAATACAGAAGGTGTTTCTGGTTGCTCTGTTTCAACAACAGAGTAATGCAAATTAATGCACTGCAGTTGAGGTTGAGCCCCTTCCCTTTGCTCCATTTCACGTGTGAAATATGATGTCCCTGGATGCTCCAGCTGGGCAGTCTGTGGTTGCTCTGCTTTGCCATGAGAGTACAATAAATCTGGTGGTTTCATTCCACAAGTCTCTGCTTTGCCAGGAGAATATGACAAATCTATGTGTTTTGATTCTAGTTGTTCTGTTTGCAACTGCTCTGCTTCTCCCCCAGAATATGAAAAATCAGAAGGCACAAACCCAGCTTGTGCAGTTTTCTGTTCTTCTGTTTTGCCAAGCAACTGTGATAAACCTGGTTTATCTAACAGTGAAGCTGGTTTCTGCTTTTCTTCACCAAGGGAGTGCAAAAAGACAGGCTGGGCTATTCCCTTTTCCTCTAGTTTGCCAAAGGACTCCAAAAGCTCTGGCTGTTGCTGTGTTTTTTGGGCAGGTTCCAAGTGCTCTGATTTGCCAACTGAGTAGGATAAATCAATTTCTTCCACCTCTGATTGTTCAATTTCATGGTGTTCTTGTTGACCAATAGAACATGACACACCTGGATAGTTCGATTTCTGATATGTAGCTTCCTCTTCTATTTCTCTAACAGGGTAAGAGAGATGTTGTAACTTTGGCAATATTATTTCTTGTTCTCTTTTGCCAGAAGAATACAACAAACCTGTATGTTCCAGTTCCCCTTGCACAGTTTGAATTTTATCTGTTTTATCAAGGACATACGTTAAATCTTGTTGCCCTAAGTCTGTTTGTATTTCTTCTTGTGATGGTGTTCTGTAAATGGAATCTGATAAATTGGGAAGTCCCTGCTCTGAATGTGTCATTCCTTGTTGCCATGTTTTTCCAAAGGGATGGGGTGTTACAGACTGCTCTGATTTCCCTTGTGTAGCTGGTTGCTGCTTTACTTTGTCTCTGGAATACAACAAACCTGGATACTCAACCTCTGGTTGTGCTGTTCCTCGCCATTCTGTTTTGCCAGTGAAATGCAGCAAGTCATGATGCTCTGCTTTCACTTGAACAGTTTGTGGTTGCTCTGTCTTCCCAGGGCAAGATGATAAATCTGGTTGTCCTAACCCAAGTTGTGTGGTTTCTTGTTGCTCTGTTTTATCAGTAGAATATAATAAATCCGAACGCTCCAACTCTTGTTCTGCCATTTCTTGTTGCTCTTTTTTGCCAGAGGAATACAAGTGGGGAAATTCCTTTTCCAGTGAGGTCCTACTGGGTTGCTGTGCTGTGCCATGGGAAATTGACAACACTGGTTGTTCCAATTTCAGTTGTACTGTTTCCTCTGGGTATAATGCATAGCTTACTCTCTCCTGTTTGAGGTCCAATTGTGTGCTTTGTTTTTCTTCACTAACAGAAGAGGACAAATCAAGGTGTGGTACTTTATCCATGGCATCTGAGACATCTGGATGTGCAGACTCCAGCATGACAGCCCTTGATGGCTTTATTTTGACAAAAGAATGCAAGAGATCGTGTTTTTTCAACTCCGGCTGCATTGTTTCCTGAGGTTCTGCTGCGCCAACAGAGAATGACAAATCTGCATGTTCTGGTTTTACTTGGGAATTTTGCAGTCCTTCTGTTTTGCCCATAAAACACTGCAGCTCAGGGTGTTCTGCCTGTATTCCTGCACCTTCCCATTGCTTTTCTTTGCTGAGAGATAATGAAAAATCACCCGGCTGATCCTGATCTGGATGGACCTTTTCTTGTTGCTGTACTGGGCCAGTGGAATGCAATAAATCCAGACGCTCCAAATCCACTTCAGCCATTTGAGGTTGATGTGTTTCACCAATTGAACATGACAAATCTATTAGTTCTGCCTCTGGTTGTATGATTTTGTGGTGTTTTAATCTGCCAGTAGATAATTCTGAATGGTTTGACTTCACACGTGCAGTTTCTTTTTCTTCCTCACTAATAGAATAAGATAACTGTGAATATTCCAGTTCTGGCTGTGCTTTCTCTCTTTGTGCAGCTTTTTTGAAGGAATACAGGAAGCCTGGCTGCTCCTCTTGGGCAGTTTGTACTTGCTGTGTTTTGCCAGGCCCAGATGATAGATCTGGTTTTCCTAATTCCAGCTCTGTAGTTTCTTGTGCTTGTGTTTTATCAATGGAATATGATAAATCAGGATACTCTGGCTCTGGTTTTGCCATTTCTCTTTGCTCTGCTTTTCCAGTATGAGATGATGCCTCTGGAGCTCCTAGTTTCTCTTTTACAGCTTGTGGGTTCTCTGCTCTGCTGACAGACCATTCTTCATCAGGGCATCCCACGGCTGTGTGCTCTGTCCCTCGCTGCTCCACTTTGTCGGCAGTGGATGCCAAGTCCGCATGGCCCAGCTCCAGCTGGGCAGGGGGGAGTTGCTCCGTTTTTGCATGAACATACAACGCATCTGGCTGTTCCAATCCCAGCTGGGTCACTTCTTGCACTTTGCCGAGGGACCATGCTAGATGAGGGTGTTCAGGTTTAAGCTGTGCAGTCTGCATTCCTCCTGCTTGGAAAATGGAATACCGCAAGTCGGGATGTCCCTGCCATTTTTCTGCTGTTTCTTCTTCTTCTGCCATACTCACAGAATGGGCCAAATGTGGAATTTCTACTTCTGTCTGAACTGGTTTCTGTTCTGCTTTTCCAAAGGGGTGAGTTAAACCACTTTGCTTTGATTCTTGTTGTACTCTTTGTTGCACCTCTGTGTGGTCCAGAGGATATATCGCATCAGTGTGTCTGGCCTTTTCATGACCCAGCCTGTCAGTGGAAAATGATAAATCCGGCTGTTTCACATTCTCACCATGTTTTAATTGCTCTGTTTTAACAGGAGAATGTGATAACTTTTCTTGCTCTACCTGTTGTTTTGTGGTTTGCTGCTGTTTTTCTCTGACAACAGAAATTTTTCTGTGTTTCTGATCCAACACTCCTACTTCTTGTTGGTTTGTCTCATCAGTGCAATGTGACAAATCAGGATGCTTCATTTCCCATGGTGCAATTTCTGGCTTATTTGCTTTGCCAGGGGAAAATGTCAAATGTTCTGACTCTATTTGTGCAGTTGCTGGAGAAGCTCTTTTTCTGGCCATTTTAGGCAATTCTTTATATTTGGACTCAGACTCTTGAGTTGCTTGTTCTTTGGCTTTACCATAGGAAAATGATAAATTTGGGTATTCTGAATCCAATTGTGAAGTTTCTTGCTGGGTTTTTTGGCCATCAGAACATATCAAATTTGAGTGTTTAGATTCCACTTCCATATTTTCATCTTGTGCTGCTTCACCCAGGGTTCCTGGTGAATCCAAATGTTCCGATTGTCCTTCTGTTTCTCCCACAGAGTATGAGAGCTCTGGATGTCCTGACTCCTGCTCTATAGTGTCGCCTGGTTTTGCTTCACCACTGTTGCATGAAAAATCTGGATGTTCCATGACCAGTGGTGCAGTCTCTTGTTGCTTTAAAAGAAATGGTAAGGTTGGATGTTTCAATTTTTTTTGTTGTTCAGCTTCACGAAATGAATATGACAAACCTGGATATTCTGAATGCATTTCCAGTGGAGCTCCTTTTCCACTGGAAGATGGCAAAAATGTTTGCTCCAGCTCTGGATGTACTATTTCTTGTTGCTCTATTTTGCTAGTAAAACTTGAAAGAAATGGTTGCTCTGATTTGTGTTGTGTCATTTCCTCCTGCATTTCTGTACTTACATAGAATGTCTGTTCTGGATATGCTGGTTCTGTTTGCATTTCTTCTGGAATCTGTTTACTGAGAGAATATGGCAAAGATGGATGTGCTAACTCTGGTTGAGATGTTTCTTGCTGTGCCAAATTAATTTGGTCTGTGACCAATGGCTCTTCTTTCTCCCAGGTTTCTGACAAATCCGAATATTCCATTTCCATTTGCATAGCTTTTTGTTTGGCTGTTTCCTGCTGTTCTATCTCTCTTTGTACTATATCTTGATGTTCCATTCTGCTAAAGGAACATGATACATCTGTCTGGGCCACATCCAGTGGTGAGGTTTCCTGTTCCTGACTACCAGCAGTGGAACAGGGGGCAAGCAACTGCTCCTGCTCCAGTTGTGCCACTTCCCAGGTCGTTGCTTTGTTGACAGAATGTGAGGAGCCCAGAGATCCTGACTCCGCTTCTTCTTGCATTATTTCTCTAGTGGTAAATGAGAAATCCCTGTTTTCTGAAGCTAGTTGTACACTTTCATGTTGCTCTGCTTCACTAATGACACATGATGGCTCTGGACCTTTTAAGTCTTCATGTACAGTTTCTTGTGGTGTTTCTCCATGGGAATATGGCAAATCTGCTTGCTTCAACTTTGGTTGCAATATTTCCTGTTGTTCTGTTTTACCAGTGGAATACATCATCTCTGACTGTTCTGTCCTCAGCTGTGAGGTTTTATGTTGCTGTTCTTTTCCAGTAGAATATGGCAAAACTGGATGCTCTGACTGCAGTTGAGTAGTTTCTGCTTGCACTCCTTTGGCATGGGAATACAGCTTACCTCCAGGTTGTGAATCCTGCTGTACAGGCTGTGGCTCTTCTTCTTTGTCACCAAAATATGACATAAAAGAATTGTCCACATCTACTTGTGACAATTCTTGATGCTTTGTTTTAATTGTGGGATGTGGTAAATCTGAACATGCTGTTTCCAGATACCTAGACTGCTGTGTTTCAGCTTTTCTACTGGAATCAGATATATCTGGTTGTACCAAGTGCAGTTCTGTAGTGTTTTCTTTCTCTGCTTCTTCCATCAAACATGAGAAATCTGAAGGTACCAACACACGCTGTGCTGCTCCTTCTTCCTCTGCTTCTTCAGGGGAATAAGGCTCTGGCTGTTCAAGTTCAAAAGGAACAGAACTTTGGTTCTCAGTTTCTTCCCTGGAAAATGAAAACTCCTGATGTTCCATTTCCAGCTGTGCGCTTTCTGATTCCTCTGTTTCTTCCCTGGGGGAAGAAAAGTCTGGGTGCTCCATCTCCAGCTGTGCACGCTCTGATTCCACAATTTCTTCTCTGGAGTATGTAAAATCTGGGTGCTCCGTCTCCAGTTGGGCACTCTCTGATTCCTCCATTTCTTCCCTGGAGAAAGAAAAATCTGGATGCTCCATCTCCAGCTGTGCACTCTCTGATTCCTCTGTTTCTCCTCTGGAATATGAGAAATCTGGGTGCTCTTTCTCCAGCTGTGCACTTTCAGGTTCCTCCTCCTCTTCCCTGGGGAAAGAAAAGTCTGGATGCTCCATCTCCAGCTGTGCACTCTCTGATTCCTCTGTTTCTCCTCTGGAATATGAGAAATCTGGGTGCTCTTTCTCCAGCTGTGCACTTTCAGGTTCCTCCTCCTCTTCCCTGGGGAAAGAAAAGTCTGGATGCTCCATCTCCAGCTGTGAACTCTCCGATTCCTCTGTTTCTTTAGTGGAAAAAAGCAGTTCTGGATATTCTGTCTCCAGTTTTGCACTCTCTGATTCCTCTGTTTCTTCCCTTGAATATAACAAATCTGGATGTTCTTTCTCCAGTTGTTCACTTTCAGATTCCCCTGTTTCTTCCCTGGAAAAAGAAGAGTCTGTATAGTCCATTGCCAAGTGTGCACCCTCTAATTCTTCTGTTTCTTCCTTGGAAAAAGAAAAGTCCAGATGCTTTTTCTCCATCTGTGTTCCCTCTGATTCCCCAGGTTCTTTGTTGTAATGTGAGAAATCTGAGTACTCCATCTCTATTTGTGCACTCTCTACTTGTACTCTCTCTGCACCAAGGTGATCAAAATCTAATCCTTCATTTACAGCTGATGTCTTCTGAGTTTCTTGTGTTTCTGTGTGAACAGGATATGAAATGCCAAAATATTTAGAATCTATCTTTTCAGGAATAGGTAAATTTAATTTAATTCCTTGCTCCTTGGATTCTGTTTGCTTCTTTAAGTGAACATTTTGGGTTTCTGGTGATGAGGTTTTTTGGCTGTCCTTTTTCTTAGCAGAATACAATAGACTTGAAGGCTCAGTTTCTGACCATGCAGTTGTTGATGAATGGCACTCAGTTTTTTGCTTCTCTCTTTCATCTACAGAATGAGGTAATAGCATGTGTTCAGACTCAGGCTGTGCAACTTCCTCAGCAGATGACTGAGGAATAATATCCTCCTGTCTTGTTTCAGACAGAGTAGAACATTTGGATTTAGCTGAGGGAGCACTAGGTAGGTAAGACTGAACTGATGACTTCTGTGCTTCCCTCTCAGGATGTTCTGACATGGATGTAGGGAAAATAGATTGGGTACTTTCTCTACCTAATTCACTAAAAAAATCTGCTGAAACAGACTGCGGTGCAGAATTGGGCTGAATTTCCTGTTTCTTTTGTTCATCCAGAAGATCTGATGCTGTCAGCAGGGATTGGTCTGGTTTCTTGTTTGCGGTTTCAGCTGAAGGAAGCAGCACTTGTTTCTCTGATTTAGCATCAGACTCTAACGAAACGGAAGTTGATTGCTCTGTTACAGGCATTTTAGCCACAGGTAAATAACTTTGCTGCTTCTTTACCTCTTCAGGAGGGCAAGACTTCAATGACTGTCCTGATATCTGATTTGGAATCTCCAAAAGAGACTGTTTGTCTTCTCTTTCTTCATGTTGAAGAGTTGTTTCTGCACCAAAGCTTGAAAATCTGCTTGGTTTATCTTTCATTTTAATGGGATCAATATTTTCAGATGAAACATCATCTTTATTAATAAGCCATTTTTCAAGAGGTGTTGCTGGTGAAGAATAGGGCTGATCTGGTTGTGCTGTGGGTTGCTCTCTTTGCTCCCTTCTTCTCTCTGATGGTGTTTCAAGATTTCTACTTCTTGCTCTCTGGAAAGCTTTCGGATGTGTTGCTTCTGAAAGTGAACTGAACTTCTGCAATCTTTCTTTTACTGATGTTTCAAGGAACTGTTCAGAATCTCCTAAAACTGAGCTGCTTCTCTGGATTCTGGTTTTCTCCAATGTTTCAGGCGCTGGGTCAGTCCCTCCGAAAATTGAGTTGAACAGCTGGATTCTAGCTTGTACTGGTCCTCCAAGGATTGGCCCTACTTTTCTCAATCTACTTTCTCTAAATATTGATCTTATCGGAGCACGTTTTACCGGCTCTTCTGTGATGTTCTCTAGATCTTCTTTACAATCCAACATTTCCTCATCTGTGTCTTGTGCTTCCACCTGTTCAACGTTCAACACGGAGCCCTGCACATCTCCTAGAACAGTTCTTGGTTCTTGCCTGTGCATTCCAGAAGAATCACGTTTCTTATTGCCCTGGCTCCCCTTCAGGTGTTTAGCCATTGACACCCTATTTGAAGATTTATGCTTCCTTTTCCGAACAATCTTACCTTCATCCATAATAAAGATAACTTTTCCTGGAGGAGAACCTACTGGTGAACTTTCCATACTGTAAAGATCAGAAGTTGCACTAGTTTCTGAAGCCCAGGGAGTAGAAGATCTGCTTGAGCTGGTTTCCCATGTTATCCCACTATCTTCACTTTGAACTGTTACCATAGAAAAGGAGGGGTTAGTCATGATGTACTGCAGCTTGGGTTTCACATCTTCACTTTGGATAAGATCTTTTAAACTAAAAAATAAAAAAGGAAAAAAAAAGTCATAAAATCCAAACCAAATTAAATTATTGCAAATCAAAATTTTTGCATTAAAGCAAAAATACTTTTCAAAGTTGTAAAAATATTTTTCAAAGTTACAAAAATACTGCATGTGCATAAGTTTTGAAACACAAGCATAAGCAAAGTCATATTTCATCTGAAAAATATATTTTAGATAATTTTTTCTAAAGCTGCATGTTGCAAGGTTAGTTCAATGAAGCGGAGGTGTTTACATGCTCTTGAAAATGCAGGAAAAACAGTTTTTGACCTGACCTTGTTTTGACAGTGTGAGATTGAGCTGATTCTGGGGCTATTCTCCAGTGCACAGTTATCTCAAAATATAATTTAAACCTTGCATTAAACACTTATAAGATACTGATGGTGTTTTAAAAGCACCCACGCTCGCTTTGCCTAAGCGTAAATGGTGATACAGTGCTCAAAGGAGTAGAGAATCTATTTGCTGGTTTGTTATCATCTTCTCATATGTTTCATCCTCTAAGACTGTACATATTTAAGAAAGTAATTTAGAATACATTCAACAACAAAAATATACTGAACCCTCCCCAAATGAAATAGCGATGTCTTATAAAGCTAACTTTAAATCTTATTATACACAATCACTACAATAACCTATTTTTCTACACTACTCAGTGTTACTAAATAAACATATATCGTATGTTGCAATGAAAAAAAGGCTGAGGAAACACTTTCAAGAAGCTTTAGGGAAAAAGAAGTTTTAGAAATGAGTATAAAGAATAGCAAAAGTAATTAAAGGACATAATATTATTAATTTTTTAAAGTATTTTTAGGGTTACAATAGTTATTTTAAAAAAGCACAGAAAATCATTACACAGAACCCCAGTATATCTCGAGTAGACAATAGTTCCTTTAGGGAAATCGTGTTAGTAGCTGATGGAAAGAAAGGCAGAGCGTCTGCTGGCAAAGGCAGACACTTCAGTAGAGCAAAAGTGGTGAAGTCTGTCACTGCCATGGAAGGATGCAAACCTACAGCCACACAAGTTCCTACTTCCACTGAACAGAGGGAAGGGTCACTTTCCAGGTAATTAGGGTCACTTTTCCATGAATTTGCTCTCCAGAGCACAGCACAAAAATGGCTGCTCTGGGCTGGCCCACACTGAAATCCATGTAGACTGATGCACAGACCATTGCATCATTGTGTCCTTGGTGCTAGCTGAAGACTGAAGTCTCCCTGTGGGACAACAGTATGACTAGGAGGTGATGGGACAACACAGTATCGAAGTCCAGTGACGGCACCTAAAGCCAGTTGTGGTGACTAGGTTGGGCTGGTCTGGAGACTGTGATTAGCAGGACAGCTTGGACTAAAGCCCACAATTCAAAGCAAGTCTGACAGTCTAAATAATCACGTCTTAGGCAAAAAAAACCCCACGCCCAAAACAAAAAAACCCCAAACCAAACAAAAAACCCATAAAAAATCTAAAGCCAGCCCTCAAACAAATACAAAACCTCAGCATGTACAGCTAATTATCTGCCTTGTAGTACTCTCTAGCAAGGCTACCTCCATAAGGGAAGATTTACAGGTTCAAGGAAATGGAAAAGCAAATAAATCTGTATCAACTTTGTTGCTAGCTTTTCCTTTGCTAGTTTAATAGCTTGGCATTAGGCTGACTTGAGCATAGCAAAACAAAATAAAATAATCAATAGCAATAGTACTAAGGAATCTTTTGGGTCTTTTGACCTGAGTCAATTTGAGTCCACACACAATAGCAAACGCCTAATCTTTTTTTTTGAGATTTTTGAAGTTCTATATAATCTTCATATATTTTTTAACCTATTTTTCTACACTACTTGGTGTTACTAAATAAAACCCCATGAAGAAGAGAGTAGCACTCCTACTTCAGCTGATATTAGTAAATAAGACTGGGCTGCCCTGGTCCTGCCTATGCAAAAAGCTTGAATTATTCAAATAATTGGCTCATTTCCAACTTTGTAGTCACAGTCCATATTTCTCTACAGTGCAATGAGGTGATGCTTTATATTTTTAAGACTAGGATGACAGACGTTATTCAAGCACTTTCTCCCAGTATACTTCCACATGCTGCCCTAGTTTTGTATAAAATTTGCAGGCTGAACAGCAGTAGCTGAAGGACCCCTCTCTAGTTAGAGGAAGTGTCTGCCATTTCAAAAAGACATTCACAATGTTTCAGCTCCATAAATGCAGATGTGAAGCCACTGACATCCAGGGAGGAAAGCCAGTGCTGCCTTTTTTCCACATAGACTTTTCACCCCCAATCCTGTCAGCATGCATGCTGTCAGTCTGTTATTTCCATGCTAGGACATTGGCTCAAACCTTTTATAACTCTTGAAGACACTGACAACTGGTTTTGTGCTTCCTATCATAACTGGAAATCTATCTCAAAACCAGATTTTCCTCATCGCCTCTTCCTGCTTCTCACATTCCTCTGCTTCTCACTACGACTTCCGTTCTGTGTCCACTGGGATTTCAGGTTTGTAGTCCAGCCTGGCAGGCTGGGCATACATTCCCTTATGTATCATACCAGGGAGGAGTTTTCAACTCCCCAGCTGCCAGAGAAGTCATGTTCAGACATGCTGGGTGAGGTCTGTCCAACTGTGCTACACCACCACTGTCAGAGAAGTATAGCCAGCCCATCAGCTTGCTAAAATCCTCCAGAGCCTCCCATCAACCACTTTGCATCAGACCTTTTCACTCCTGGTATTGTCAAAACTTGTTGCTGTTTGCCGCGTAACACCTCACAAGCTGAAAACAACCCAGATATAATGACTGAGATGGCAACTTGTGGTGATGGCCTGCACTGACAAGACTTCTCATCCCTGAAGGCTCCTGCTTGAACCCTGCAGGCACAGTGCAGGGAAATTGGCCCTGGCCAGCTTGCTTTCCCAGTTGAAGGAAAGATTTTATTTTTCTGTGTTTGTGGTTTTGTTCTGTACATTTCTGTAGTTTCTGCCTTTACCCTGCTGCCCCTTTCCCCTGCAGCAATTGGTATGCTCAGCAAGGTCTCTGTCTATTACTCTGCGTTTCCTAAGACTATAGCTCATTCATCTCCTTCAGGGTAGCAGAATTAGGAGCTACAGAAAGTCACTATTTTAAAA